AAAACGTGGGCCAGGCCAGTGTTAGGCTGCTGGCCCATGTCGGACGCGCCCAACAGGCCTAGTGCTCATCACACGGATGTCCACTCCTCCTGTGCAGCCCTGCTCGGCACTTCTGTTCTTTTAATTTTGCTCAAAAAAAATTATGTTCTTTTAATTGGCCAGACGCCAGATTGCTATTTTATTCTATTTGATATACTGATTTTTTTATTATTTAGCACAAATTTTGTTTATTTTTCATTGAGAGAGGTAGCACTAGTCCATCTTTATGGCTTTATCTATGCCAATTAAGTACTTGCCTTTGCTCTAATTAATATATGTTTCCAATATAAATATGGCACATGATTACAATTTTTTTTTATTGTTAAGTTTGTTGTCTCTCCACCCCACGTATATTTTTTGGCTACGTCCACCACTGGTTTGGAGTTGTCTTGACAAAGAGGGAATTCCTCGTTAGCCATTAAAAAGATCACAATTCCCTATAAGCCACTGAAAAAGTTTGGTGGACTTCAGCGCCATTGCGCTAATTTTTTTTTTACCCTCCATGCCATTGCCGTCAGATTGAACTCTAACGGTGTCAAACTGCAGGTGTGAAAAAGTAAAAAATACCTTTAGATCTAAATATGCCATTAATTTTTTTTAGTATCTTAACGACTTCAAATGAAAAACCTCAAAACTAAAAAATTGTAGATCTCGTCGAAATCTATAATTTTTATATAAAAATTATCTTTATTTAATACTATAAAAAAGATATAATTTTTCTAAGATATATTAATCTTATCAAATCATATCATTTTTTTGCAACGAAGATAATTTTGAACCGTACTTATTTTGTTTGGTTGAGCAATCGTTCACTGCTGGAACTGGAACCCTTAACCGTCCAAATCGAGCGGGAATGAATTTGTGAAAGCGCGGCTGGCAACCGGTCACGTTAAACATTAAACAAAGAAAAAGTAACGTAATTTGTTCGCGCTGTGATCAGATCACCCCGCAAAACCACCGAACCAAACAGCTCCTTTATCTTTATTATTATGCTAGGACCCACCATGGTCAACTTCGCCTTGCCTGGCACAAACTAGTGAGAACCTATAGTTGACCGTGTGGGACCCACGACTGCAGAAGCCTGCAACCAAGCGAGCCCCGCTGCAAAAAAGCAACCAATCAAATGCGTGGGTTAAGCTCCATGGCCGCTAATAGATAATCACTGGATGTCCACGGCATAGTACTCCCCTCCAATCGCCATCCAATATACTATCCATTTATTACAAATATAGACTCTATCCTTATTCAACGAGGGCGCCGGAACGAAGATGCAGTAAAAAAAAAAAAAACTGGTGTGAGTTGTGTCGACTTTGAACCGTGCATGAATGCGACACGATTGGGATGGGAGGAGGGATCATCGGAGAACGGAGAGGAGGCGTGGATCATCCGCCATGCATCAAAACTATTGCTCGTAGCCTTCGACGAGACCAAAGCACGTTTCTATGGAGGAGTTCATGAGTGCTATCGTGGGCAGCAGCGTCTTCACGTTGGGATCTTCTCCACGTCCGTCTCGCAGCGCTCGTACCTCGTGAACACGTCCTCCTCCAGCCACAGATCTATGTCGATCAGAGTCTGCACCGCGCCGTCGTCGCCCGAGGCGGCGAGGCTCCTGACCCGGGCCAGGTACGGATCCGGCGGCACCTTCTCGCCACACATTGCCGAGGCGAGGTCGATGCACTCGCCCAGCTTGTACGCCGCGCCGCCGCCGCCGCCGCAGCTCCGCGAGCAGGGACCGGAAGTTGGCGACCAAGACCTCGACGGCCGCGCCGACGACCCTGAGGCGGCTGCCGTTGAAGGACCCGGCGCGCGGGAGGAGGGAGTCGTAGCAGTAGCCCACGTACTTCTCTTTCATGATGTCAGGGCCAGGGTTACAGCGTGTCCGGAGGAATTCAAGCGCGGCGGGGGAAGCAGCAGGGCCGCCGCCTGCTCCCGCTGCGGCTGCAGGGGACGGAGAAGGAGCCTCTGCCTGTGGCTGTGCCATGAAGGTGGCAGCGACGACGACGAGCAACACGGCGAGGCAACCGGCATTGTTAGCAACCGCCAAATTTGGTGCGTATATATGTCTATTAGCACAGAATTCAGTGCACTTGATATAGAGATGAGATGTATGCATATTCGTATGATGATCAGTAGTACCTGGTTTATAGTGTGTGTATAGATATAGAGAGAGAGCTCATCTACCACTATTATTTCAAGGGCTGTGCTAGAATTACGCCAGCCCACTCCAGATTATAACTGTGTTTCTTTCTTCACCAATAACCAAACATGGTTTGAGAGGTCTCTGGTTGCATGCACTTCAGGACTCAGGTTACGTCAATAATAGAGCTAGTAGTAAAAACCATAGGCCCTGTTTTTTTATTCAAACAGCTAATAGTTAGTTGCCAATAATTAGCTTTTTTATCTAAATGGGTGTAGTTAAACATCTAACTAACAAGTATCTCACCAGTGGGATCAAACCAACTAATAGTTAGATAGCTAATAGTATTAGTTATGAACTATTAGCTAGCTAACTATTACTCTCTCCGTCTCGAAATATAAGGTGTGGTTTGACTTGCTGTAGTCTTCAAGAATCAAGACCTCTTATATTTATGAATGGAGGGAATACATGTTTCTAATAACTTTTTCTTTCCTCCTCTGTAAGCACTAGGAGGTTGTTTGGTTGGTGCTTCCGAATCTATGCCCAGACATGCATCTCAACGGCAATCGCCAGAAATCCAACAGCTGAGATATATGGTCCAGACAGTTTTGTCTAAAGGCAAAACAAGCAGGATCTCTAAGGCCTTATAAGAGCATCTCCAAGAGTTCCCTAAATATTCCTCATAAAAACTCCATGTTTTCCAACTCTTAAAAAGTATTGGATGAAAAAAAGAGGATCATCTCCAATAATTTCTAATATTTCACTTAAAAAAATTAAATTTTGGTCCATTTGAGTTTTTTTTCAATCCTTTTCTTCGCGCGGAATTCTTCGTGCTCACGCATAGGTACGCCGCCGCCGCCTCCTTTCCTTCGTGTTGCCCTAGCCCAGCAGTCGACAACTAGGCAAGCAAACAGAGCATGCATACAGTACCATGCAAGCAAGCAGGCGGGTAGCAACCAAGCAAGCATGCAACCAGCAGCCTGCACGCACTTCTGCTTCGTCCGGGGCTGCGACGACTCCATCGTCATCAACTCCACGCCGGGCAACAAGACCGAGAAGGATCAATCCACTCATCGCCAAGGGCTCCAGGGTGACGCTCGCGGCCGACCAAGTTCCTCCCGTGGCGCCGCCCGACACCGCGCGAGGTGGCGTATGCGCTGTTCGCCTCCAACTGGCCCACGCCGGCGCCGGGTTCATCCAAAAGCCCTAGCGCCCGGTGCTCACCGCGCCGCTGCGCTCCTTCTGGCCGTAGTTCCTTCTCACCACCGTGCTCCGCGTCGCGCACTTCTTGGTCATGTACATTGGCCCGTCGTTCGTGGACCGATTTGTCGAATTCGTGCGACGCGGAGGGGAGCTCACGGAGGGGCTGCAGCTCGTCACCGTCCTCCTCGTCGGCAAGGCGGCCGAGACGCTGGCGTCGCACCACTACGAGTTCCAGGGCCAGAAGCTGGGAAAGGCGCAGGAAGAAGGACTCCGCACGTGGCTTCGTCCGCACAAAGTTACGCAAAAGGAGGGGGATTTCCCAAGTCCTAAAAGATTAGAGTATATATTAGGAGTTGTTGGAAAGGGGTTTTCCCCTATCTTTCTAAAAAACAAGGATTAGAAGGATATTTAGAGAACTCTTGGAGCTGCTCTAACTCCCTTTGGGTTAACAAAAATTGGCACACCTAATATAGGCTTGATAAAAAGAAGAAATGTAGTGCCCCGCCCTAAACTATTGTGGTCATTTTTTTCTAAGTACATAGGTTTTGTTATGCACTATATATCACTACAAGAGGTTAGGTCATCTATGACTAACTGATTATGACAATTACAACATTTTTCTTGTCAATGTACCCCTTCTGTGACTAACAGACCCAATAGTCACTAATCTTAGTGACCATTACAAGTTTGTCACCAGGTTATGACTACGGTATTTGTAACTATATTCGTCATAATATATTAGATAGGATGATGACAAGTGTCCATGTGCTGATGTGGCACATGACATGGCGTATGACATGGCACATGACGTGGCACATGTAGTCATAAAAATGAATTTGGCCTGGTTGGCCCATGGGCTGGTTTTTACAATTCTAATTGAACTAAGCCTTGCTGGCCTATAGGCCAGCCAGCCATTTTTTGGCCCAATTATTGACGGCCTTTTTATTTATTTTTTCCATATAGGCCCAATAGTATTCAGCCCAGTTTACATCTGATATAACAGCCCAAGCCCATATAAAAAATCGTCATAAATAATAAATCACATACATTTTAATAACAATAACAATTAGACATCTAAACAGCCATTGCCTTCGGCGGAGAAGAAGAAGACGCCGTCCACGACAACACCGCTCTTGGGCCAAGACGAGGTGCATGTGAACGGTGGCCCAGCGTACGAGCCCAAGGCCCAGAGTGGGTGTGAGCACCGACGGCCAGGAGAGGCGTGTCCGAGTAGTATTTGTGCCGTCCGGAGGGAAGAGGAGATTCAGGAATGATCAGAATTGTAAACTCGCTTCTAAGCACTTCTAGTTCTAAGTGAGATTCATCCGAACTATCCTATCTCCCTTGCTTGCTGCCCAATCCTTGCTCTACTCTAAATCCTCCTTACATTTGGTATCAGATATCCGTCGATTCCTCCTCCCGCTACCTCAATCTCTGCCGATTTCGTCGATCTCTTGCAATCGCTTCTTGTTGCTGTAGTCGGGTCGAAGGCAAGTTCGATTTGGATTCACGTAATTCCCCAGCACGCGAGAGGTCCGATTCGGTCCTGGCTCGTCAATCCTCACCGCCATTGTCGCCGCCGCACCCTCATTACACACGTTTCGCTCGTAGCAGGGGCGTGATGAATCCTAATTCGAAGTTGCTCCTGGATGAGATGCATCGCCTCTTCAAGGAGCAGAAGACGCAGATCGATGAGCGGTTCGCCGAATCGGATCGCAAGCTGGACGAGCGCTTCACCGACAACAGCCGCAAGCTCGACATCCACTTCACCGAGGTCGACGACAGCATCACCAACCGCATCGCCGAGTTCGACAACACCATCACCAAACGCCTCGCCGACTCCGATCTGAACTGGGAGCAGCGCATCACCGACTCCGAGCTCCGCCAGTCTGCTCTCATCACCGACGTCGGCAAGCGCCACGCGGATGGGGTCAGCCTCATCGGCAAGTCGGATGGAGCGCTCGAAGCCTGGCGCCAGGAGTCGGAGGGCGCGGTCGATGACGTCAAGCTCAAGGTCGACAAATTGACCAAGTACTGGGATCGATCCTTCCTCGACCAAGCTGCGGCTTCGACGGGAGTGATCTCCTCTGCACCACCTATATTGGAGCAGACCGCCGCGTGCTCACCTGCCAGCAATACGGCTGCTCGGCCCAGCGGGCACCATGTCTTCTCGACTACACGGGCGGATGGCATTGAGGAGACTTCTCCTCAATCCCATTCCCCGGCCAATGGTATGCAGCTTACTCCACATGTTGGTACATCTATGTTGCATGGAGTTGTTCCTAAAACCCACCACCATACCAATCACCACAATGATAATGGTCGCCTGTCCACTTGCAGGCGGGCTCGTTCGCGGCTGGCCGCTAACCCGCCTCGCTTGCCGCAAAGTTTATTAGCGGGCTTGTGGCTTGTCACAAAGCTACGGATCTCGCGGACAAGTGTTTCGTGGACACAACAAACTTGTATGCAAAACCCGCAAGACCCGCAAGACGGACAAGTGTTTCACGGACTCAACCTGAAGCTCAAGGAAGCACCTGTCCATCTTGTTCACAGTAAGGACTGGCCTAATCCTCTCACCAAGGGCTTGGCGGAGCACAGTTCGATTGCTCTCCTATTTTGATCCAACGGCTAGAGCACGAGCCAGCGCTAGGGTTGTTTCCAGCGCCTTCCTGAGCGTCGTGGTACACGACCTATCGCACGGCTGCATATATCGCAGTTCGCAGCGACTCGATCTTCCCGTTCCACAAAAGCGATTTCTTCAGTTCGTCCCCAACGCTCAGACCTCAGAGGTTCCCGTGCTCTTCCAAATCTCGAGTTCCAAAACGAAAGCAGCGTGGCACGGACGGCCGCGGATTTCTCAGCCGGTATGTTCTCCTCCCTGCCGCCTGTATTCCATGCTCGTCGAGCCGTTGTTGCCTTGCCGCTGTACCACAGCGCCGTCGTACCGCTGGTCACCCAGCATGCCTGCTAGGGCTACTGCCGTTTTCCAGCGAGTGCGGGCGAGCGTGGACAGCGGGCAAGCGCGGCCAGCGAGCGAGCACGGCGGCGCGGCCGAGCGCAGCCAGCTCGGCCAGCAGGCGAGCACGGCCGCACGCCCGAGCGCAGCCTGCCGGTGGCACAGCCGGGGCGGAGGCACGGCGACGGCGCGGGCGCGCGACCTGCGCGAACGGGGAGCGCAGCCTGCGGCGGTGCGGCCAGCGCGTACGGCGAGCGTGGCCGGCACGGCGGCTCGTCCTGAACGGCCGGAAGGGAGAGCAGAGGAGGTTGTTGCGGGTCTCGCGGGTTGTTGCGAGGCTTCTCGCTCGTCCAACGAGCTTGGTGGGTTGAAAGTCTTTGGGCCACGAAAAAATTGCAGCCGGTCCGCAACAGCCACGAAGCCTAGTTTTGCGGGGCGAGCGGGCGGGTTACGTTAACAACCTGCCCCGCCTGCAACTTGAGTCGCCTGCCTAAGCTCAATTTTCCTTTCTATGAGGGTGAAACCACACGCTTATGGATTTCCCAAGCTGAAGATTACAATGAGATGTATGATGTACCTCCTCGCCAGTGGGTCAAAGTCTCCCGCATGCACTTTCAGGGCGCTGCTGCTCGTTGGATTGAGTCCCTCGAGCAGCCTGATCGTATCCCTTGGCCTGACTTCTGTAAACTTCTCCATGATCGGTTCGGTCGTGACCAGCGTGACAGATTGTCGCGCCAAATGTTCCACATCCAACAAAATTCCACGGTCACTGACTATGTTGAACGTTTTTCCACTTTGTTTGATCAACTCAAAGCCTACCGGCCAAATCCTGATCTCCACTATTACACTACCAGATTTGTGGATGGCCTTAGGTATGATATTCGCATGGTAGTTGCTTTACAGCGTCCTTCCGATCTGGATACTGCGTACACGCTTGCCTTATTGCAGGAGGAGAGATGGCCGATTCCAACAAGAGGAGTGAATTCCACGCTCATGATCGTGGAGCAAGCTTCAAGTCGGCAATGCGCACGGCTGTGCCTACAACACGGCCATTGCCGATTGCTGCCGCTGCTGGGGACAAGCTGTTGGCCAAGGCGACCGCTCCTGATACTGATGACAAGCTTTCCAAGCTGCGCTCCTACAGGCAAGCCAGGGATCTCTGTGACGTCTGTGCAGAGAAATGGTTTCGCGATCACAAGTGTGCAACAACTATCTCCTTGCAAGCAATGCGAGAAGTCTAGAATCTATTTCAGCTGGAAGAAGTGCCTGACAATACTGAGGAAGAGCATGATTCTCCGGTGGACCAACCTGAGCACCTATTTTTGGCTTTGTCATCTGATGTGTTGAGGGGTACCCGAGTCTGACAGACCATTCAGTTCCATGGTACAGTTCAAGGTCTTCATGTTACAATGCTAATCGACTCCGGCAGTTCGGCTTCTTTTCTGACTGCGTCAGTTGCTGAACAATTACCCCAACTGCTTCGTACACCACTGACGGCATCAGTAAAGGTCGCAAATGGTCACTTGCTCCAGTGCACAGAAGCTATACTTGGCTGCTGCTTTTCATTGGGGGATTACCAGTTTCAGCATGACCTCCATATTCTGTCATTGGAATCATATGATCTCATATTAGGCATTGATTCGTTGGAACTCTACAGTCCAATGGAGGTACACTGGCAGGCCAAATGGCTGTCTATTCCTTACAAGGGTGACACGGTGGTACTCCAGGGGCTGACATCCGTCTCTGATACAGAGCTAGTGGTTCAACTTCTTGCAGTCGAAGCTCCAAACAGCAACCACGATGCAGTTCAGTTGCCTGATGATATTGCAGCCTTGTTGGCCGAATTTCCTTCTGTTTTTCAAGTTCCCAACTCTTTGCCACCCAAGCGTGCGTGCGACTACGCTATACCGCTTATAAGTGGTGCCACTCCAGTGAACATACGGGCTTACCGTTATCCACCCAACCTCTAGGATGAGATTGAGCGTCAGGTCAATGCTATGCTCAGTCAGGGTTTGATTCAGCCAAGCAAGTCACCTTTCTCTTCGCCGGTTCGGCTAGTGCGTAAAAAAGACGATTCATGGCATTTCTGCGTGGATTACCGTTACCTCAATGCCATGACCGTCAAATCTGTTTACCCTATACCGGTGTTTGACCAGTTGGTTGACGAGTTGGGCTCGGCCTCATGGTTCTCGGTGCTCGATCTCCATTCAGGGTACCATCAGATCAGGCTGCAGCCTGGTGAAGAATATAAGACGGCATTCTCCACTCACGCGGGCCTCTTTGAGTTTTACGTCATTCCGTTTGGTGCTACCGGAGCCCCAGCTACTTTCCAGGGCGCCATGAATGTGACACTGGTGCCAGTACTTCGCCGATGTGCAATAGTTTTCTTTGACGACATTATAGCGTTCAGTTCATCTTACACAGAGCATCTAGAGCATCTGCTTCTGGTATTGTCCCTCTTAGCCAAAGATCAATGGGTCGTCAAATTAAAGAAATGCAGATTTGCTCAGCAAGAAATTCACTATCTGGGACACATCCTGAGTGCTCAAGGTGTTAGAACTGACCCAGATAAGGTGTCTGCAGTACAGCATTGGCCTACACCTGCGAACACACGGGAACTCCGCGGATTTCTGGGTTTAGCTGGTTTCTATCGCAAGTTCGTGCGTCATTTTGCCATACTTGCTCGGCCTTTGACTCAACTCCTTAAGAAGAATCAGCTATTTATCTGGACAACGGAGCATCAGACAGCTTTTGAAGCGTTGAAACAGGCTCTGTGCTCGGCGCCGGTGCTTGGGATTCCTAATTTCAGTAAACCGTTTGGCATCGAGACTGATGCTTGCCAGACAGGTGTGGAAGCAGTATTACTCCAGGATGGCCGCCCATTGGCCTATGTGAGCAAACCCCTTGGACCCAAGACACAAGGATTGTCTATTTACGAAAAAGAATATTTAGCAATCTTGACTGCAGTGGAGCAGTGGCGTTCGTATTTGCAATTGGCCGAATTCATCATTTTCACCGATCAGAAATCCTTAACTCATCTCAATGACCAGAGGCTTAATATTGTGTGGCAACAACGAGTTTTTACCAAGCTTCTAGGCCTGCGCTATCGTATTGTGTACAAGAAAGGCATAGAGAATACCGCAGCTGATGCGCTGTCTCGACGTGTCCATGATGATGGGGTATGTTGTGCTATTTCAGTGGCCACCCCAAAGTGGTGTACCGAGGTGGCGCAGGGCTACACCAGTGATCCTCAAGCACAAAGCATCTTAGCCAAGTTGTCCACTTCCACTGAGTGTTTTGGCCAGTTTATACTGAAGGATGGTATTATCCGCCACAACAACAGGATTTTGGTGGGTAAAAATGCCGAATTACAGCAAAACATCATCAGAGCCTTCCACAGCTCACCGCTCGGGGGTCACTCCAGCATTCCAGCTACAACCAAGCGCCTACAGGAATTCTTTGCTTGGCCTGGTCTTCGGAAACATGTTGATATTTTCGTTCGTAGCTGCCCTACATGTCAACAAGCCAAGGGGGAACATGTCAAGTACCCTGGACTCTTACTGCCTCTGGAAACACTGACATCTGCCTGGCAGGTCGTTGAGGGCTTGCCTAACTCTCATGGTTTTGACTGCATATTGGTGGTGGTAGATTTGTTTTCCAAATATAGCCACTTTGTTGCTCTTAAGCATCCATTTACTGCCTTGTCTGTCGCCAAACAGTTCATGATGCATATCTATAAGCTCCATGGTCTTCCCTCGGCAATCGTTTCAGACCGTGACAAAGTCTTTACCTGCATGTTATGGAAAGAGTTATTTCGCCTTGCCGGAGTGGAACTTCGGATGAGTTCTGCATATCATCCGCAGTTCGATGGTCAGACGGAGAGAGTAAATCAGTGCATGGAAACTTTTTTGCGGTGTTTTGCTAATGCAGTTCCTTCCAAGTGGTTTGACTGGCTTCATTTGGCCAAGTTCTGGTATAATACAACATGGCATTCAGCTTGACGGCCAGGCGCCAAGACAATTGGGCGTTGATGCAGCATCGGCTTGCTCGGTCTCTGCTTTGGAGGATTGGTCTCAACAGAGAACACTGATGCAGTCACTCATTCAGCAGCATCTGGCTTGTGCCAAGAACCGTATGAAGATGCAGGTAGACAAGAAACGCACTGAGCGTTCCTTTGATGTTGGCACATGGGTGTATGTCAAGCTGCAGCCGTACGTACAATCATCAGTTGTTGCTCGCTCCAATAAAAAACTGTCATACAGGTTCTTTGGACCGTATCTGATCACAGAGAAGATTGGCCCTGTTGCTTACAAGTTGTAGTTACCACCATCATCGACAGTTCATCCCATCTTTCATGTGTCGCAGCTCAAGGGCGTTGTACCCGTAAGTCAATCCACTGAACAATTACCAGACTCACTCGATGGCTTGCAGGTACCAGAACGTATTCAGCAGAAGCGCGTCGCCAAGTCAGGAACTGCTGTACGCCTCCAGGCATTGATCCAGTGGTCCGGCTTATCACCATCACTGGCGACATGGGAGGACCTGGAGCACCTTCGGCAACGGTTCCCTCGAGCGCCAGCTTGGGGGCAAGCTGGTTCTGATCGGGGGGGCGGGGGGGGCGGGACGCCGTCCACGACAACACCGCTCTTGGGCCAAGACGAGGTGCACGTGAACGGCGGCCCAGCGTACGAGCCTAAGGGCCAGAGTGGGTGTGAGCACCGACGGCCAGGAGAGGCGTGTCTGAGTAGTATTTGTGCCGTCCGGAGGGAAGAGGAGATTCAGGAATGAGCAGAATTGTAAACTCGCTTCTAAGCACTTCCTGTTCTAAGTGAGATTCATCCGAACTATCCTATCTCCCTTGCTTGCTGCCCGATCCCTGCTCTACTCTAGATCCTGCTTACAATCATTTCCTCCAAAATTAATGGTTCATACAGCCATAAAACAGTTCAAGAGATCAACAGCCATACAACAGTTCAACAGCCATATATATACACGTTATGTCTAAATTGACAGTAAAAAACTAGAAAAAATTGAAAGCAGCCTATAATTTGAAGACTAGCCCCGGCCCGCCGAATATCTCATTAGTCGATACAATCAACGGTTGGCTTCTAATATACTCTATCCACTCACAAATATATTCTCCAATTCATTTTTTGTCCACAAATCTTAGGTAATTATATTAGTTAGTTTTATATTCCTTTTTTAGAGTTTGGGTTGTAGTACCAACGACATGTTAAGTACTAGTTAACTTCCTCAGCTTGTACTTGGTGCCGTCGAGCCGCCGCAGCTCGGCGAGGAAGGACCGGAAGTTGGCCACCATGAGCTCCGTGGCGGCGCCGATGACCCTGATGCAGCTGCCGTTGAAGGTCCCGGCCTGCGGGAGGAGGGAGTCGTAGCAGTGGCGCGCGATCACATCACGCCGGGGCTGCAGCGACCTCGGAGGAATTCGAGCGCGGCGGGGAAAGCCGGAGGGGAATTAGTAGGTGCAGGACCTGCCGCCGCTGCCTGAGCGCTCCCTGGTGCAGGTGCAGCCGCGGCTGCTGCTTTTGTCGTCGTCGTGAAGGTGGTGGCGGCGGCGGCGACGATGAATGCAACGAGGCAAATTGCATTAGCCGACCTCATCATCTTCGATGTATCTACAAGTTCCATCTGTAAGTGTAAACAGTGGCAGATCCATGATAAAATTTCACCTATGGCGAACTTTTTACTATATGTTTATATGATAATGCACGACCATCATCGAAGACCAAATAAAGTTTTTTTTAGGAAACAGGAGGGACCTTAGTCCCTACTGAAATTTATTAGCCAAGGTTCAAAAAAGATACAGGGCACAAGGGGAGAGAGGGAATTATGTCACTGTTTCCAAAACATCAGCTCAAAAGTGAAAGAAACAACCATAATTTAAAGTTTTGGCTAGCTACAGCATTGTTTATGGTGTTATGATCAAATCGATTGAACTATGTGGCCATTTGGGACATAGAATATGGACGAGCAAATAAACAAAGAGTTGCCGTATTTGAAATTTTTAGTAAATAAACTTTATAAACAAAAATAGTCATTACTTTCAGATATGATATAGTGCACAGTCAGCTCTAAACGAACACCCAATTTCGCAAACAGCATGCTCATGCTTCAGAATCAGGATGCAGCCTTCCTCAAACCACAAATCCTTCAGTTGTAAAAGCAAGAGTCGAACACGTGTATACCAGTCAAACACTCATTCTACATCTAAAAGTCTGAATCTATATGAACGAACGTTCCCGAGAATAAAGTGAAACTGATTTGCAGCGCAAAGTCAGAGGCAGAAGGTTCACTTGCCACCACTCGTTTCTTTTTTCTCTCAGGACGCCATCGCACTAGCGACGTCATGCATGAATGGAAGTGCTGAATGCCGAGGAGTCTGAATCTATTGGAACGAACAAGAACAAGTTATTTGACTAAATATGGAGGAAATAGAAGATCGAATCAATCCGCATCAGTGCGGCAGAAGAGGATTTTCATTGAGCCGGCGCACGGATCGGTGAGGCATCGGATGACGGCCTCACTGGCGGTGCCGTCCTGTTGCCAGACGTTGCTGGATCGTTTCATCCCCGCGAGTTCAGTGCGTTAAATGTGTGAAACACTGGTGAAACCTGCGTTCTCTCTCTCTTGGCACATATATATAGGGGACATGGGACAAGAGCAAATAGAGGCCAATTAGCAGTCATTGGTTCAGATAGAAGTGCACAGTCAGCTAATAAGGATCCCACTACTATTCTTTTCAAGGGTAACGTTGTGCTAGAATTACACTGGCCCACTCCAGGTTATATATACTGTGTGTGTTTTATTCTTCATCAATAACCAGACATGGTTAGTTTGAGATGGCTGGTTGCATGCATGCCTCAGGTCATCGACATCGGCAGCTTTGTCTATCTAAAATAAATCACTACTATTACGCAGACTACCATAACCAATCAGACCATACTAGATAGGGAGGGGGCATTCCCATGCTATGCACATGTAGGCGCATCACTACTAACCAGACTGTTTCTAACCAGAGCAAGACATGGTTCACCCTCATCACAGGAGCAATGAAGCACCATTCCTTCCTGGTACTCGGGACCAAACTCAAGTTTATTTCTTAGAAACCAAACTTATCATCATGTATAATACACATATCTCAGAGCAGCAGGGCTAATATAAAGACACCCCAGCCGTTTCTCTGGCCAGGCTTTGCTCAAGCTTTGGAGTCTGGATGGGAGTCAGCTGATTTGTTGCAGTAAAGCAATTGACAGAACTACTACAGCCATATGGTAATTTCAGAATTTCAGTCAGACTGGAAGGCAATGCACTAGCTTAGTAGTGGTTTATGCACAATATAAAAATCTCAACATTTCAGATAAAAATGCTGACACTTTATAGGGAGGGGTATCTGAATGAACTTCTCATTCATTAAACGGCACCTTTGACAAAGCAGTAGTGTGCTGCTACTTTGCTAGTGATATGACGAGCATTGCAAGCTGGTTCTACTTACTAGTTACTAGCAGGTGTGACATGTTAGCATGGGAAATAATGCATCTTCTTTAAGTTGCAGACTTGCAGCACCAAATGACGCGCTCATGGCTGATAACTGATATCGAATAACCTTTTTTTTCTGATGTCAATCAGGAGTGGAAAGACCCAACCTATGAATGAGGTAAAACACAAAACTCCTCTCCTGCTGCTATCTTATCATACAAGGCCGGCAATCCCATGTATATATATCCTCTACGTGGATTCTTCTAACTCTTCTCCAAATCGATCCAGTCTTGACACCTCTGCATCGTAATCACGGATAAGAGTATGGTTAACAGAGCCATCGTCTTCGCTCGCATGGATTTGCCGCCCGGCAAACCTGCAAGGCAAGAAATGAGAACAAATGCTATCAGAACAGATCAATCCAGGTGCACAAATGCTATATAATCTTCCACGTGTAGACAAGCAAACATGCATGGTTATGAGGGTAACTCGGTATTTTTAATCACATATGTTTTCAGCAACATTTCACAGTAAAGCCAATGAACAAATGATATACCAAATGGTTTGTGCTGGAAACAGACAGGAGGTGCAAGGCCGCAAGCCGAAAACTCCATTTCAGCCACCCCGCTAACATCACCACATCAGAAACAAAGGGGAAAGAATCGTGTGTGTTGAGTTGTTGACTTACCATCTGCCGTTCATCTTCTCTATGCATTTGGCACCATCTTTCCTATCTTTGAATTTCACCAATATGACACCCTGTGGATGATTTTCACAAACCTGCATGCAGAAAACAACAAGCATATTAATCAATGAAACTGCAGCAGTTTGGTGGAAAACAGACAAGGATACAACAGGAACAGTTAAGCAAATTATGGCTGGTCAATGCGATTTGGTTAATTTTCTTTTGTATAAAATATGCACCTCATCATTATTATTGAAATGGTGAAAAGTTTGTTTCGGAAAGCAGTGGGTCGATTCTGCTTTCCAGACAAGTTCACAAAAAGCTATATATCTGGGGTTAGGTGTACCTTGACATTATCCACTGGACCAAACTTGATGCATTCCTCTCTAACATCAGTCTCAAGCTCAGAAAGAATCTCTTCATCAGCCTGCAGGATATTCTTGGTTAATCCAATAAGAATGAAAATAAAGTTGTTATGAAGCATGAACCTCATATGAACAATCTGAATGATCTAATGTGCAACCAAGTACAAGTAACTAAGTAAGCGCTGTCTCAGATCAAAAAGAGCACATATTGCAGGAGGCATCAAGCATATTTCAGGTACTTACTCTCAACTCAGCAGGAGTGAACATGTGCCTTAAAATTACTGTAGTAGGAATCATCAGCTTCTTATCATCATGCCCACCTAATTAGAGGAAATTATCAAGAAAACAAATGAAATTAGACCCTATTCTTGAATCAGCTATATTATTTAAAACAACTACCAAAAACAGCAATCCAAATTACCCCATCCAAGCATTTTGTCTTCGACCTTTTTGATCTTCCTTTTCTTTTGCTTGTCAGTTTTCTTTGAAATGAAAACATCACCTGAAACACATGTGATGGCATCAGTGACAAGTTTTGAAGCTGATGGCACATAGAGTATTTGCATATTTGGTTTTAGCATAACGAAACAATACCTTTCTGCTCAAATTTGGCTGGACTTACAGACATAGGAGTCTTACCACCAGGACGGAATGATGTCCCATCCAACAATTGAACCGCTAGAGCTACAGAAGGCTCCTGAATCGTTGGAAAAAAGAAGGCACGTGAAAAGAAATGCGTAATGAGTCCAAATAATCTGAGAAATTTAACAAGGTGATACCTTGAAATATGTCACCAAGGCATCACCCTTCTTCCTGCCAGTTTCCTTATCAGTATAGATCTTCACCCGTGGCTTTTTAGTCTCTGGGTCCTGTATTATGAATTATCAGCATTTTTTAAAGGTGTCTAAATGCTTTAAAGTTCAGGAAAGAAATATAAATGTCACAGCACAACCGTATGCTTTTATAACATATTATTAATAAGAGCAGCAATACCTACTCGAAATAAAATATCACATAAATATTGTAAATTTTTCAGTTTATTTAAGGCATCCGCAACATTTCAACAATTAATATTATCCATCTATGATGACCAATGGATAGCTGTACCAATATCTAGTATTATAATGCATGCTGCAAGGACAGCTGAAATTCATTAAATGCTTGGTTAGACAGTAAAATACATAATTGCTGAGTTGAACAGTTTGCAATAATGAACAGCCTTGACATGATTAATTCAAGGTCCCAAGATTCTGATAAGTTAAATTACAAAGTTCCTTTGCCAGTATTCCAATTAATTACATTCTCAGATGAATACTATATATTAGTCCAAATACTGACAAAACTAATTCTTTTCACAGGTGAGAAAAATCAAAACAACATCAAGAATGAATGATGCAGCACAACAATTTTGTATCTGCAACACAGCAGACTAAAAGCATACCTCCTTTATTATTCCACACTTGGAAAATACCTCCACAATCTGCAAAAGAAATCCAGCATCAGAAGTTCAGAACAAGTACTTTTAAATAACCAATTAATTAAGAATTTGTTACATGGTCATTCAACAAAATGATCTCCATAAGAGAAATGAAATGTAGAATTAGTTGATAGAAGCAATTTACCTCCTCCACCGTCACATCATCAGGCAAACCATTTACATAGACATGTGTGTTGACTTTGAGATCAAACCAACTGTCCGGAGGTTTGTTAGCTTCCTACCACAGAAGTTCAATAGGTTACATGAAGACTAGAATCAACATGCACAAACTTATAAAGAACTCCAGGAAGACTTGATAACTATACCTTTTTCTCAGCTGGCTTCTCAGAAGATTTCCGCTTCTTGTCTCCTCTCGTTTCTGCTTTATCTGATCCTTTGTTTTTGCTTTCAGATAGAGTGTTGATTTCTTCTAGTGCAGAAGGACCCAGGATATCTGGTGCCTGAAATACTTCTTCCTCAAGTGCAAAAGTCATCTCTTCAACAGCATAATTTTCCTTGCTACCAGATGCATCATTCTATAAAGACATACAGGAAGAGGAAATTGTAAAAAATGATGAGAGGAAAAACAGTATTAAGAAGGTGAGTTTTTTTCCTCAAAAGAATACAGCTGAACGTGAAATGTAATGAAAAACTCCCAATGTATATACCATTATTATTGCCAACATCACCAATAGATCAAAGCAATTCTAAGTACATTAGCAACTAAACCACAACTTAGTATTTGGTGGGACAGAATATAGTTGTTTTTTCTTGTATTGAAACTTCCAAACAAGGCGAAAACTAACACACCCATTGGTGTCTTCAATCTTAAGCAAACTACAAGTATCATGGTGAGACGCAAGAAACCAATGAGCTGGTAAGCTCTAGAATAAAGAAAGGTTGATTTATATGAATAGATGGCTTCAGTCTTCAAGGTTATGAGACAGACTGTTTGAGAACATAACTCAGTAAAGACTATTTCAGGGGTTTTCTAGGCCTATGTGAGAAGGTCTTCTTCTTAACAAAATACCCTGGTGGGCTCTTCACTGCGTCATACCTGGTGGCCCAGCCCCTGCAGCGCCCCAACAGCAGGCGGCCAGCAGCCCTCCAGGTCAGGGAGTTTTTTTTAGAACATAACTCAGTAAAGAACAGGGCTCAGGTCAATTAAAGCTCTTGCAAATCTTATGTGAGTGAGAATACTAAATGTTCTCCAAGCATTAATTCCCAAACTAGTACAATCCTTCAAATGATAAATAGTTTAACAAGAATTTCTGAGTTTTACTAAGTGGCGGGTGATACTTTCCATTAGTCCGTTGTACCACATAGTGATAGATAATTTGAAGAAATGACATGTACCACATCCAACACAAGTTTTTATCAGATGATCTATACTGATAATTCATAAAGAAAGTACAGAAGACCCAAGGCTCTAAGCTCAGGAGACTTTCATGAATTCAATGGTGGAAAGTCATGCAATCAACTGATGGATCTAAGCAGTTTATTTATCTAGGGATGGAAAAGACAGATTATCAGTACTTACTTGAGGAACCCATGCCCTCAAAGTACGGTCCCATTTGTAAATGGTGCCATCATCATCAGTAAATTCTTCCTCTCCATCTGGTGGGGTTGCTGGCCGCTCATCATCTTGATGGTCCACCTCTGCCTCGGCCTCGGTAACCTCCTTCTGAAATTTCTCAAAATCATCATCAACAGCTGGAGCATCTGCACAGAAGTTCAATGATGAGAAAACCTTACAAAATTTCCATTACAGGTACAGTACAAGGCAATAACATATAACCTTGTTTAGATTGATCCTTTGATGTGACTGCAGATTGTAATTCAGGGATGGACGAGAGTGACATCCATTCCTTCCTCCCTTCTGCCCAGAGCATTGTGCTCTCATTGAGATAACCGTTTGCAAAATGTTCTGCAAAGGGAGCAACATTTGTTTCATTCAGAATATTATTTGGGGGAAAAGTAGGAACAGAACTATTCGACTTCAAAAGCGTGGAAACGAAACCTTCTCGGCGAGATAATCATCCCGATAACTAAACTTCAGAGTAAACAACAATAAAATGGGCAAGAAGCTTGATTCAGGACAGACTGAACCCTAAGGACGACCTCACAGAGAAAACTCAACTTGAAACGCATTAAATTGCCAGGGAGAGGGTGAAGGAAGCAGTCACCTCGAAGCTCAGCAAGCGCGTAGGGTCCTACGCCCTCCTGGTTCGGGCCGAGCACGTACCAGCCGACCTCGGTGGCGGCCGCACCGCTGGTCTCCATGGGCACCCAAGCCAGAAGAGGAGGGGGAGGAGGAAGCGGGACCGGTGCCGGCGGCGGGGGATGAATGCGGAGGCGGGTGGCCGGAGAGGGGCGGGCGCGCGGCGGCAGGAGAAGAGAGGTCGCCGAGCGGGAGCAGGGAGGACGGCGGGTCTCGCCGTCTCGGCGAAGGGCGAAGGGCGAAGGCCCCCTCGAGAAGTACCTATCTGGACGGCTCAGATGGCCCCCTACCCTGCCGATTCTGTTACCGATATATATCTGCACGCCTGCACTAATCATTTCCGTTTTCAAATCTGCATTGTACACCGACCTTTTACTGTTTTTAGCATCCGAAAGTACTTCGGCCTCGTTTAGTTTGCGAATTTTTGAAAATGATTATGAAAAGTAGGAACAGAACTATTCGTTGTTATTGGCGGCGATTAGTCATCCCGATAACTAAACTTCAGAGTAAACAAGAATAAAATGGGCAAGGAGCTTGATTACTGAATAAGGACGACCTCACACTTAAAAGATTAAATTGCCAGGGAGAGGGTGAATTTCGAAGCCTAAGCGCGTAATTAGCCCTCCTGGTTATTTTTATTTATATTTAATGCTTCACCGGTGCCGGCGGCGGGGATGAATGCGGAGGCGTCCAAAGATTCAATGTGATGGAGAATCTTGAAAAATTTTGCAAAATTTTGGAAACTAAACAGGCACTTCCTCCGTATAAAAAATGCAATCCTCGTTTTTCCAGTAAGGTCAAACAATTTTAAATATGACTAAATTTACAAAAAATACTAATAACATTTATAACATGAGATAAGTTCGTCAGATTAACCACGGAATATATTTAAATAGTAGATAAGACATAAATATTGTACTATTTTCTATATACTTAGTTAAACTTAAACAAATGACTTAGTTCAAATCTAGATTACAGTCTTCTTTCGGATAAATGGAGTAATTCATTTTTACCAAAATACTCAGATGTTTTCAAATAGAAAAATTATGTGTGCATATTGCGCTGCTAGACAGGTTTTAAATTTGATGCATGAAAATAAACTCATGATCATAGTTCAGTACATTGAGAGGAATGAGAAATGAATCCAACAAAACGAAGGTAGCAAGGAAATCTGAGAGCTGTTAGACTAAGGTGGTTGCACATCACAAAATGTTTGAATCTTAATAAGATACATGTGCACCTTGAAAAAGGAATGAAAGACTATTCATATTGGGCACGCATTTGAATACACTGAAAGAATACAGACACTAATGTGTGCCTTTCTCTGCTCAAATTGTATTCGATCCATTTCCAGCCGTATAGATCACCGACATCAACGCAACTTGTTACATCAGCAAATCCGTAATACACGGTGTTTGCTGCACACAGCTTCTGACCGGCAATGGAAAAACATACAAGATGCTATTACTTCACTGTATTCTGTATAGTTCATATTGTACACAAAATATTTAGCCGACAGGCGCCAGTAGTGCCATGCTCCTCGTCTCTCAAACTTGCCGATGGTAGGGGTCCTATACCCGAGGTCTAGATGGTGCTGATATCAACTTTGCTCTTGACAATTTGGAAGGCAGGAGTAACCCAGCTGCCACAGTTGCACTGTATTCCTGCCCAGTTGAAGTATCCCAACCGAGCTCCGCAGTGGATGCATGATAGCTTTCCTTCCAAAGCACCGTCTTCTACTGCTAGGTGAACAAAGGCAGGTGAAACCATGTAAGGTTTAGTTAACAAAAGGATGGGGCAATAAAATCGCTACTAAGACCCAACAGGTGTACAACTGCTCAAACATCAAGTATATTCACTTATTCAGAGTTCAGTTATTATAAGATGACCTATAAGCATCAAATCATGAAAATATATTATATTCAATGGGAAACAACCATATGTGCAAGGCTTCTATGATATTTTTTTTTCCGCAACACAAATAACTATTTCATGGGCCATACAGATTCATACTCCAAGAGGAAGGTAATAACAACAGCCTACCTGGAGTCATCCATTTCAGAGGTTCGACAAACAAAGATGAGCAATCTTGTTCTTTGTTGTTGTATGGATGACCACTCTTCCTTCGGTTCCAATCAAAGCAAGATTCACCCTCACCAGGAACATGACTTACAACATTGTCCTCTACAGCAATAACTCTCCTGCATTTCCTGCAGCGGTAAGCTGTTTTACGTTGCTCAACCTTTGAAGAATCTTGACAAGAGCCAGACTGCGGAGCAAGGCCAGGGTCATCTTCAAACATATAGCTGCCTATTTTCTCCCCAAATTTGTAGGATTGACCTGCGAAAGGAAACACATGCTAGGTTACAGAATACATGTTTGTTGAAATAAATTGAAATTAAAAGGTACTTTTGTACTTCAAAAAAAATCAAGAATGTTCATGACCATGCAGCAAACAGATTTCTGAGTAACAACCTAGCATAGGAAGAAAAATCTCATGATAAAAGATTGACAAAGAGTACAACTGCTCCATATTGAATAAGGATTACTATCTGCTAATGGCCAATTCTATTTGATGAACTGATAGTATTGTTGAATGCTCAAACTTCTATCAGATTAAGACTGATCAATCGACCATTTTGACTATTTTTATTTTGAGAGGGAAAAAATACTGAAACACATTTTTATTTATTTCAGGTGCAGCTACATATCCAAAGTCCTAACCGTACAGCACTTCATATTTATTGATACATAAGTGCAGGTAGGAACTCGCTGGTCACGAGACAAATTATCATGAAAAAACATTTGAACGCTCTGCACCGTGAATCAGGGATCGCTCTGGAACACAAAATGATTTTCTATCAATTGCCAATTGTGAACCATTGAAATTCATAAGGAAGACATTTCACGATCAGTGTCAGCAAGTTTCCTTTGAAAGCATGTATCTGGTCTATTGGTCTACCTAAACCACACATGTGAAACTAACTTGCACTATTTTTAGTGACAGTAGTCAAGGAGCGACCAAACAAATAAAACATAGAGAATACCCCTGCGAAAAGTGGAGAATGCCTATTAACTCGAAATTATGTCACGACAACTAGTAAACACCACTTTAGCCAAAATGGATCAGGACTAACCTAATAATTTTAAGCGGAATCTCTTGTACAAAGGACTTGAAGTATCAACTTTGAAGCCCATTTCTTCAAACAATTTCAGCTGCAGGGCACAGAATGTTCAGCTAAGCAACAAATATTACAGGAGTTCATATGCTGCATTGCTGCCAGCACATCATGAGCAAATCTCACCTGGTCAAGAAAACCATCATTCGGGCACGCCGACTCAGAAATCTCCTTCAAAGCTTCTAATGCATCTGGGAAGAAAAAAAGGCAACATGAGTAAAATTCAAGTATAGGAGATGAAAAGATAGATGTTCTCTTTCCAGGAAAAGAGAGTTCAGACCTTCAAGAGATTTCTGTTCTGATCTCATAAGATAAGCAACAATGATGGAAGCGCTGCAGTAAGTTTGACATAAATTATGAATAAATATACAAAGATGCAAAAAGGAGTTGACAGTATTACAAGTGAACAGGTTTGTGCAAATCAATTTACTAAATAGAAACGCTACATAGGTAAGTCCAATTCCGATTCTCAATTGTGAAGCAGTCAGCAGCCTGCTCCAAGTGGTTTGTGTCACAATTCCCAAACATTCAGTGTCATCGCGCTACCAATTGGTTTGGTCAAATTTCACACCTTCAAATCAAATTCGAACTGCTATGCCACTACTACCATGCCGAACCTAATTCCATTGCTAAACATGACAGTTCCGAAATAGAAATCCTAACTTTACCCACAAAACGAAATCAGAAAATGGCAACGCTCCAGCCGCTTACCTCCTCGACACTCCAGCAAAGCAATGGACGAGGACATTCCCGACCTTCCTGCCCTCATCGATGAAATCAAGGCAGGGGTCGAGGCGGTCGAGCAGGTCCTCCTCCTCGGTGTCCCGCAGCGGCACGGCCATGCGCGTGACCCGCAGCCCGGGCCCGGCGCGCTCCACCACCCGCATCAGCGTCCCGGGGGGCACCGCGGCGGCCGGTGGCGGGCCCTCCTCGCCGGCGACGACGCGGCGAACCTCCTCGGTGGGGATCGCGAGGCCCGGGCGGCAGTCGGTGATGAAGGAGATGGAGGCGGAGCTGACCACGGAGAGGACGTGGGTGAAGTCCGGCGTGGGGGACGACTCCGTGAGCTCGGCGATGGCGTCTTTGATGTCGCCGAAGTAGAGCCGCTCGCGGACGAGGTGCGGCATGGCGGCGGCTGGCGGAGGAGGCAGAGACCGCCGGTGAGAGTCAGTGAAATCTGCCGAGTGGAGGAAGAGTGGAAGACCTACTTTTTTTTAATCGGATCTGTGCCACTATTACTTCGCCGTTCTCCGAAACACACCATTACTATTTAAAATGCTATTACAATTGTTTCCTACTTTAAAATATACCATTATATACACCGAAAGCGTATTGGGCCCACTTTCAGGCATCGTAAAGCTAACATACTTTCGTATGGACACTTTTGTCCCTGCTAGTCGCCCTCTGTCCCACTCTATGACACATTGGGCCCACTTGTCATCCCTCTCCCATCCACTTTCTTCCTCGTTCCCGGCTGCCCCTTCGATCTACGTCGCGAGCCACCGCTTTCCCGCGTGGCCAGCGTGCCTGCAGCCTCCGCCGCTCCCTTGCCGCAGTTGAGCCACCGTCGTACCCTGCAGCGGCGCTAGCCCTTGGACAGCGTTGCCACCAGCTGAGCGCGCCGCCCTGCCCGACCCCCCACCTCCACCGCATCTCGCTCGCAGGCCGGCGTAGCGCCGCTACGGGTCTAGCGCGCCGCACCGCCGGCCACAGGTCGTATGCCCTGGTCTAGCTGGCCGGAGCCCCGTCCCCCGGCCGAGCAACGTCTAGCCCAGCCCTTAGCCCCCATGGCCGACAAGCGTGCGTGTGCAGGCTGCTGCGCTGCCGCCAGGCGAGCACGCGGGCGGGCCACCGCGCCGCGCGGGGCAAGCCACCACGTCGCTACTACACTGCCGCCAGGCGAGCGCGTGGAGCAGGCGGGGTGCGCTCCCGCTGCTAGGTGACCGCAGCGAGCGGGTGGATCCGGCGCCAAGTCAGAGATGGAGAAGATAGAGAGGGAGGGGGCTACTGCGGCGCGGTCGTTGGAGATGAAGAAGACAGAGGGAGGAAGACGGTGGGGAAGACTGACGAGTGGGCCCCATGTATCAGTGAGTGTGAGAGAGAAGAGTAAGGGTCGTGAGGGAGAAGAGTAAGGGGGCAATCTTGTCCATACAGATATATGGTACCCCTCTATATGTCTACAGTGGGCCTAAATCGTCTTCAAATGTACATATATATAACGGCGTATCTCAAACATCTACAGAGTTGCAATGGCAGTGATATAGTTTCTTGAATAGTAATGGTGTGCTTCAAAAAACGGTGAAATTATAATGGCACGGATTCAATTAACCCTTTTTCCCAAGAATCATTTTGTTTTTTTACGTATAACCCCTAACTTCAATCGTGATTATCATTAACCCAACCCCCAAATGCTTTCGCTGAAATTTAGTTTATGTTGATGCTTATACTGATTTGTTGTGAGAAGAAAATACCTTTTTTCACTGAAATATACTGATGAAGTAGTTCAAGCGAATAGGGTGCGCTCCCTGTTGCCTGCACCTGGTGCTTTGGCCACAAAAATGAACTGGATTACACTGTACCACGTAGCTGCAAACAGTTGTAGCCATAGACGAATAAACACAGCCGACCAGGCTGAAAACGAGAAAAAAAAAAAAAAAAGAACTCACATGCTACTGCCAAAGAAAAAGAACGCACATCGGCGGTAGGGTTAGGTGTTTCAACGGTTATGATGTTTTCATGGCTCCGACTTAGGGCAGGTATATAGCTACACGTTAGCGTCTCATACTATGTCTCATGCCATTGCCACGTAGGATTTTTTGATGATGTGGAGGAAAGAGAGAAGGGAGAAAGAATGAGGTCGTTGCTTCGCCAAACAACCGCCTCATGAGCTAAAATCTAGGACTATGAGACAACTATTGTACCACTGTATGAGTTGCTATTGTCATGCAACTCACAACTCTATTTTTCCTTTATGCATAAATTAAGAAATTATGAATTATTATGAGACAACTTAAAATGACAACCATTGTACATATAGTCTATTAAGCCATCTTAAATTACATTGCACTACATGATACCAACTACGAGATGACACCGATGTACTTGCCCTTAGAGGTGTATCCAAAAAGATCGACGGACTAGCGGTGGTGACAGTCAAGACGACATCATAGAGCAAGGTGATGGAAAAGGCTGGTTGGGCACTTGGAAGCGGTGGAGGCATAAGGAGGAGGCTTATGAACCAAAGAGTTAGTCGAGGCAGGGGTGCTCGCACTGGATTAAAAGGAAAAGAGGCTCATGTTAGGGGTGGACGTGGTCCAGAGCAATAACATAGGAGGTGGCGTTGGCATCATGGAGTCAGGTGGTGCGAGGCAACGACGAGTGAGCGCAAGGGAGGAAGAGAAAGACGTGGAAGAAGAAGAAAGAGAAAAAGGCATGACTCGATTTGTGCACGGATGCGGTAATGAGACCCAAATCAATATTTTGTTGCACACGCTTATTTTTGCATTAAATCGCAATTTTGTTGGCATGTTAGACAAAGTAAGGACAAAAAAAAACCATACTAGTTATCTCACATTTCAGCAATGTGCGTCAGCAACTGTGATAGCAATACAACTCTTTCAATGTAGTCAACACATATTCCGTAGAAGCATTTATCAAAGAGGATAAATTAAAAGGGTGTTTGATTTGAAGAATGAGTTAGTCAGTCTACTTCTCAGTACTCATATTTTTGTTTGCTTTATGAAATAGATAAATTGATTAATTATTACGAGTACCTGGTTCCAAGTAAACTAATTAGTTAATATTGGTATGAAGAATAGAATCATTCTATCAAAATAGTCTTGTTTTGAAAGCACCATTGCAGCGAATGGGTAGAGCGATCAGTACACCAAACATCATTGCAGCAAAGAGAGTTTTCCATCATTGGTCAGTGAAGTTTGAGACATAGTAAATCATAACATGTCAGATGGAATCATGGTAATGATGTAACAGTTCGGTGCCTTACTTAGCACAGTACTAACTAGCTATTCCAAATTCTAAGACAACATCATTAGGCTTAGCATACAAGGGTAGGGCCAGAAATTATGGGGGTGCAAAAAGACTCAACATGTAAAAACTGAGCGCAATCAACTAGTTAGTTTCTCGTGGTGACAGTCTGGGTTATGCATTTTCTTATATGCATCCTAGGATGTAAGGCACTATTCTTTCACTAGTAAGCGACATGCCCGTTGATGGCAAGATGTCTAAACTGACTTTGTAAATCTTGAGTACCGACCTAGTCTTTCATATATGCTCACATGGGAACGATTTTATTATCTAGTTGTGTTTTATATTATTTTATTATCTAGAAGACACTGATAGGTATATATGACAAGAATTTGGTATATTCTTCACCTTAATATAGATAGAAATTATAAAGTTATACTAGTAACTTTTTTTTGCCCCCCTCCCCCCAAAAAACGTGTCAATGAAGGCTCCAATGGAGCCCAACACTCCGTCGCCCATCACCGCTGCTCCGTACGCCAGAGACCACTTGATGACAACTGCTCGAAAGATGGGCTCCACAAACATTGTGATCCAAATAAGGGTGTGTTTAGTTCGCGAAATGAAAATTTTTGGATGTCACATCGGATGTTTCGGGGATGTCGGAAGGGGTTTTCGGATACTAATAAAAAAACTAATTACATAACTCGCCTGAAAACTGCGAGACGAATTTATTGAGCCTAATTAAGCAATCATTAGCGCATGTTAGGTACTGTAGCACTTATGGCTAATTATGGACTAATTAGTCTTAAAACATTCGTCTCGCGATTTTCAACCAAACTGCGCAATTAGTTTTTTCGTCTATATTTAATACTCCATACATGTGCCGCAAGATTTGATGTGATAGTTTAAGGTGAAAAATTTTAGAACTAAACCGGGCCTAAGTGAAGAAGGCGACGTCACCCCTGTGCAGTGCTGCAGAAAGGCCTGCTGGCCTGCACAAAGAAGCCGTTATAAATCCTGTTGTGAGGAATTATTATACATGCATGGCAGCAAACGCATGCATTCAGAACACAAAGAAGAGGGCGACGTCACCGTCGTTGTGCATGCCGCGCTGGGAGGGTCGGAGCGACGACGCGGACGAGGGAGCGATCCGGAGATATTTGTCCGGTTCTCTTCTAGCCATAGAATCGTTGACGTGGGGACCTGTACTGTTCATGCTCTGCGGGAGTTAATCAGCATCATTAAAATATAGGATCTGATGTAGTAAAAATAATTTGCTAACGTGGATCCTCTCTTTGCTCGCGAAGTCTCGCTACCTTAATAAGAAAAAAAAGAAAGAAAGAAAAACGCACCAGACCACAAAGCGATGCGCATTAGCAACATGGCGACAAAACCCTGTCATTATCATTATGTTCGTCGGTTGGTTTCAGCCAGACTTATTCAACCAGCCAACAGTATTTTTCTCTAAAAAATACCAGCACCAGCACCGGCCAACGAACATACTGTATATTGATGCTCCTCTCTCCTCCCGGAGAGCAACATCATGGCATTTGCTGCATGCAAATATTGCACAACTGCACAAAGGAGTTAAGAGACACGACTACACGAGGAGGAGAGACGGGCACATAGTATATATAGTTATGCATTACAGTACATACAAAAAGTTTTGGAGGGAGGAATTCCTCGTGTGTCATTAAAAAAGATCGCAATGCCCTGTGAGTCCCTGAAAAAGTTCAGCGGTCTTCAGCGTTACTGCTCTAACTTTTTTGTGCCCTCCATGCCACTGCCGTCAGTTTGGGCTTTAACGCCGTCAAACTACAAGTGTGAAATGTCGAAAATACCCTTAAGTCTAAATATGTCATTAATTTTTTGAGCATCTTAACGACTTTAAATGAAAAAACTCAAAACTAGAAAGTTGTAGATCTCGTCAAGATCTATAATTTTCATATAAAAATTATCTTCATTTAATTCCGCAAAAAATATGATTATCTTTATTTAATTTCAAAAAAAATATGATTAATCTTGCAGCATACAAGCATATGTTGTCATAGTCTAAGAGCCAAGTATTGTCAACATTCTAAATTCAAGTGCAGGGTGGTCATAAAATATATCCACGGGGAAGTAGTGATACCTTAAACTTGCA